GTTTTAAGTTGAAGTTCCTAATATATCTTTGAAGTTCCTAATATATCCTTGAATTTAATGGAAGAAAGACGGTGTTATAAAAACGATCAATGATGCAACATATAGTTAAGTTCAAGGACTAAAGAAACTAAATTGAGATGGACCAAAATTAAACTAGAGGTAAAGTTAAAGAATCATTGCTATAATTAAGCCTAACAAGAAATTCTGAAGATTCAAGGGTTTAGCATAATTTACAATCAACCCTGCACAATGCGTAAATAGTAAACCAGTAGACCTTGCTAATGATTCTTTAGTCGGTTGAAACACAGTTTTAATTTTGAGATGTGGCTCTATGTAATCAATTACAATCATCACCTCAGTCAAATGATGATTATAATGATTGTATTAAATACATATATTCATATAAATTATAGTTGACCATCAGATAATAATTTTTATAATTGAAATAGATCTATAAAGTTCTGAACTGATATCTTATGGATGACAATGGGTATTACATTAAAATATGAGTGTTGTTATTCCCACCCCAATATGTTATTTTCCTACCTACCTTGTACTGAATTTTTTTAATCACAAGTTTGTCCATTTATAAAATGACTAACAAGTTTGGGCATGATAAATCTCACAATCTGTTTAGACGATTTGTCTCTTTTAAATCCTAACGCATCATCCCATCTCCTTTCATTCAAAGAAAGCAACAAGAATGAACTTAGTTTGGGTGTGATAACTCTCACCCTGTAATACCCTAGAAAATTTAAATATATGAATTGGATATTCATAATTAATATATGAATTGGATATTCATAATTATGAATATGTGAAAAGAATTGAGAATTTATATTAATTCATTTGAGTTTAGTTTTTAAATTAAACTAGTTAAGAAGTTTGAAGTTTGGAAATTAATTATCTAAAATCAATAGACTATTCAAGGTCACAATTTATATTTTTGAATAGAGCTCGACCTCACAAACGCGTAGGCACAAACCGTTCGTGAAACAGAGTTATGACGAAGAAGTTATTAACATTTAAAGTCAGGGATATTTTGGTAATTTTATTTATATTTAGAAGGCTCCAGAAATCTAGAGTCATGAGTTGTGCCACATGTGCAGCTGTGATTGAAGAGAAAAATAAATGATGGATGGTTGTGATTAAAAGAAGAAAATAGAAATGAGGAAAAAGGGGGGAAGGAATTTGTTTTTTTTTTTGTTTTGGGGGGGGTGGGGGGGGTGACCATTGGGGAGAGAGAACCAGGAGGAGAAAGGAGAGAAAAGAGAAACGAAGGATTGGGACCCGGGTCGTGGTGACCCGACTCAATCGGCGTCCATACCTATTTCCGACGGGTTTTCACCCTTTTTTCTGGTGAATTACATCAAACAACTACTTAGGAACCCCTCCACGACCTTCCCTCTTCCTGTTACATCCCAAAAATATAAGGATTTGGACTTTAAATCAGGAATAACTGCACGATGGGGTGCAGCGGGTGTGGGTTCGAATCAACTAAATCAAAATCAAAATACATCCATCTCCACCACCATTAGACTTCACTTGAGGTCTAGAACAAAGCCCAAACAATGGTAGGGGCGGCGGAGCACCGGAGGTGAGGTTTTGAGGCCACCCATTTATGGGGTTTTCCGACAGGTTCGAGGCAAATTGGAGCCTTTCCAAGCCAAATTGGACTGGGCCGCAGGTATAAATTTTGCTTGACTCTTTGATATCTTCCTTTTTGTAATTTTTGAGAATTTTTAGAAATAATGGAATTTTTCAGTGAGCTGGGGCAGCCAACCGCCACCTGCGTCAGTGCACGGCCGGGGAGCCAACATTGTGTTTTTATTCAAATTTTCGTTATTCTAATTATGCTTTTGAGATCTCATTGATGTGGATTGAATGTTAATACGATTGTGGTGTATGTTGGATTAAATGAATATATTTGGGTTTGGTTTGAATTTTGGAATTGTAAACTACGAATGGCTTGATCCCTGTTTAAGGTATGTAGGCAGTCTAACGAGACATTAGATACAGCTATAAAATAAATGAGATTATATGATCGAGAATTAATATTTAGATGGAATTTTGACCTAAGGGAAGAAAATGGTTCTAAATTGGAAGTGAAATTGTAGGTTTTGATAAATGAATAATGTTTATGATTTACACTTGGGAGGAAGGAAATTATTTGAAGAATGATGACTAATGTTAGTGAAATTCAATTGTTATTTTAAAGATATGTTTTGATATTTAAGAAAATAAATTGACTATGATCTTAATTTGGGCCTATTACAAAAGTAATCCCCTAAAATAAATATTTCGGGGTCCGGGCGTGACACACCCTCTGTTAGACAATTTCTTCTTTTTTTTTATCTATTAGTTGTTTATATTCTTTTTTTTTTTTTGTTTAACAAACCTCACAATGGCTAGTAATAATGTGGTTCAAAGTCACCTTTAGCAAGAATCGAACCTAAGACCTCTCACTTACAAGTTAATAGGAATACCACTAGACCGTAGCATTAAGTGACTTATATTCTTTTTGGTTAAAGTACAAAAAACTACCTCAACTATTGGTGTCACGACACTTTCATACCTCATCTTTTAAAATTGACAATGTCACACCTCATCTTTAGAATTTGGTCCAATGTTATACCTTCCGTTACTTGGCAGTTAACTTTTCAGGTAAATGCTGGCGCGGCTTGATTCGGGGCCCACTTTCTATTAAAAATCATTAAAATATTATTAAAAAGTAAAAAACATTATTTAATATTATTAAATAATATTATTAATATTTTTTTTTAAGGGTTTGCAGGAGGGAGAAGAGGGGGTGGGGAGGGGGGAAACTGAGTGTGGGTGTGGGGGAAGACAAATTGGAATTTTTTATTTATTTATTTTTATTTTTTACTTTTTTGGGGTTTGTAGGTGGGGGAGGAAGATGAAGATGGGGAGAAGAGAAAGGAGGGGGGGAGGGGGAGGGGACGGACGAAATGAGGGTTTTTTTCTTTTTTAAATACTTTTTTTATTATTTTAATATTTAAAAATATTAAATAATTTTTTTTTAGTTTTTAATAATATTTTAATGATTTTTTTAATAGAAAGTGAACTCTGAATCAAGCCACGTCAGCATTTAACTGAAAAGTAAACGGTCAAGTAACGAAAAGTATAACATTGGACCAAATTCTAAAGATGAGGTATGACATTGTCAATTTTAAAAGATAATGTATGAAAGTATCGTGACACTAATAGTTGAGATAATTTTTTGTACTTTACCCATTCTTTTTTTAAGAGACAAGTTTATAATTTTATATATAAGGATTATTTTAAAAATAATAGTGGATGAAGAAATAACATTTTAATTTTTTTTAACTTTTTATAATAGATGTAAATATGACATGAGTGAGAAAATAAGATAATTGTGTGAGTCTAAAATATTAAGACATGCCCCGTTTGCCAATGGTCCTCCCAAGATGGTTGCTTTTCTGAAACGGTGAAACCCCTCAAGTCTTTCCACACCACCCCTTCCTCTCTTGACTGTATTGGCCACCTGTAACAGAGAGCACAATTGCTTTTCTGAAACGGTGAAACCCCTCAAGTCTTTTGACTGTATTGGCCACCTGTAACAGAGAGCACAATATGTACGTCAGGGGCCTCCTTCTGTGGAATTTTACCTTTTTTCTTAGCTTTGGCAACTTGTGGAGGATTAATTGGTGGACACCAGTGAGATGGGATAATTGGTGGACACCAGTGAGATGGGATTATACGTTTCTAAAGTCTAAATCTATCCATTCTCTCTCTGTCTTGCGCATATACTTCCACGCCATTGACTTATTTTTCTGTTGGGCAATTTAATTCTAATTTTAACTAAAACTATCAAAATAATACGTTTCTAAAGTCTAAATCTATCCATTCTCTCTCTGTCTTGCGCATATGGGTCTGAATTCCGAACAAAAAATTATCATGTTACTTAAAAAATTTCATATCAATTGTACACACTGGAGGCTAGTCATGTTGTTGATTGAAGTCTGCTAGCTGTTCTACATTAGTGATTATTCACCTCACCTGCCACGTCATGTGATATGGTGTACTACTGCCATACTGGTTGAATCCAAAAGAAACACTCAAGGTGGGCAAGCTTCCAAAAGATAGTGAAAGAAATTCAACAGTGCCTCCCGCGGAAGGGAGCATGAGATCGCATCAGAGAAGCATGGTACATGTGCCAAAGGCCCCTCCTAAAAGCAAGAACTAATAGCCCGTGAGTTGATCGTTCCAAAAACGTGGATTTTATGATATGGCGGGAAAATATTGAAGTCCAGCTTTTCATTTGTGTCAAGTGTCACTATTTTTCCTCGTTTCTTCTCGTTTTTTTTTTTTTTTTTTTTTTTTTAACTTTTGTTGGTGTTGGTGTATTCATGGGTGATGCTACGAACATTCTTAGTCGAACCTTCTCGTTCTGCAATCTCAGTTCCACCTCTAATTATGCAATGTTGCACATGATCAGAACTATGATCTTCTTTTATAGTTCATCTTATGAAGATCAACTTTGTTAAAAATCGACCAAATCAAGAATCTTACAACTTTTCAGTTAACGTTATCAAAATTTGAACGTATAATTTAATAACATGGTTCACCATTTATTCAATTTCATATTTTGACCAAAAACAAGAGACAATTTCATATTGGGTTTTGTTTGGAGAATTGAACCAAAATCTAAATGGTACTATTTCTACTTGCCCGGTTGGATGAAAACGATGAGGATGAAATGCACGTGTCAAAAGTATAGACCACAAAAATGTCCCGATGTCAAAGAAACCAATTTTTTCTTCTCTTAATTTCAGTAGACAAACCATAGGTGTCCAACTTCTTAACCTAACTTTGGCTTTCCTTCTCTATTTAATACCTTACTTTTCTCCTTCTAATACCCAAAAACTTGGCCTCTCTTCTCTCAAAGACTCACACCAGAGTTAAAATACTCTCTCTCTCTCTCTCTCTCTCTCTCTCTCTCTCCAAAACAAATTCAAATGGGCAACCCAGAAGTGGAGAGAACAACCACAGGATGGGCTGCAAGAGACGCATCTGGCATTCTCTCACCCTATACCTACACTATTAGGTAATAAAATCTTATGTCCCTCCCTTTCTGTATGACATACAGATTCGCTAAATTTGTTTACTAAATGATTTTCTTAGTTCTCTCTCGTATTTGAAACTGAAGTAGTACGACATGTTCGTTTATCTACTAAATTTGGTAAATAAAGATAGTGAGGAGTAGTGATCTATTTTATGTGGTAGCTGAATCTTTTTTATTAAAACCATATGCAGAAACACAGGCCCAGAAGATGTTTACATCAAAGTCCTATTCTGTGGAGTTTGCCACACTGATACGCACCAGGCAAAAAATCAACTTGGCATGTCACACTATCCCCTGGTTCCTGGGTATGATAAATCATTCTTCCTTTTCTTTATGTTTCTATCACGCGAAGTGCTAAAACCAGACGCTCACACCTGGTTCTGGCCGTTCCTGTTTTGTGAGGTCTACATTCACGCATATGAAGAATGGTCAGAATCAGCTTGCGTACACGTGCAGCTTATGATTTTATTAATTATAATGTGTGTTGCTCATGAACAGGCATGAAGTGGTTGGTAAGGTGGTGGAGGCTGGATCGGATGTGACCAAGTTCAGAGTAGGAGATGTGGTAGGAGTTGGCCTCGTTGTTGGTTGCTGCAGAAACTGCAACCCTTGCAACACAGACAATGAGCAATACTGCAACAAGAAAATCTGGACATACGCTGACGTTTACACCGATGGCAAACCCACCCAAGGCGGCTTTTCCGGTGCCATGGTGGTTGACCAAAAGTAAGGACCAAAGCATAATATGCCTAATAAAAATAGGATAATATTTGCAGTCTCCCTTCATTTTATGGGATGAGCTTATTCTCTCACATACAAATAACGTATATTCATCGTAGAAATTTATCGTTTAGTCATTTAATAATTAAATAAATCAAACAGTGTAGCTACAAAGTAGCGTATTCATGATGGACCGTTGATTTATTTCATTCATTTAAATGAATAACTGATCTAATTCAAATGATTATTTTAGTAGATATGATTTTCAAATGAAGATTAGAAGATCGAACAGTCTCGATTATGAAAATTTATGGTAAAATTGTTATAACTAAGTGGAGAAATGAGCTTATCCTTAAACCTACTCCAATTCTTGGAGTAAAAATCAAATTTAGGTTTTAAACTCACCCTAAATTGCTGCAACCCTTGGGCCAAAAATGAGTTTTAACCGAAAACTCAATTTTGGGGCAAATTCTGTCTAGATTTAACACTAGGTTAGTACGTTAGCCCAACTGTGCACATGGACGCGCCCAACACAAACATACATGCATAGCGCAAACGCGCCCAACACCACCAATGCGTGAGGTACTAACAACACAGGGGCCCACACACGTGGGTGTGTCGGGCACCATTATGAGCCCATAAATCAAAATTCACCCAAAAAATCTATAAATATCTATTTATCATAATCTAAATATTTTTTAAGTTAAAATGTTCATACAATTAAATTATGATATTCTACATTTTTTAAAAAGTTACTTTAAAAAAATATTTACCTAAATTCATTCTTTAATAATTTCTGGCTAAAAATTTAGAGTAAAAATTTTAAGTTTTGATCCAAGGGTTAGATACAGTCTTAAGACCAAATCCAACATTGGACTAAATGCTATTTTTTAGGTTTTATTCCCCCCCCCCCCCCCCCCCCCAAAAATGAACCCAACTCATGCTAAATGTGTGGGCTAAAAGTTAAAAGCCAAATTCCTCCCAGGATTTAGCCCATAAAATGGTGTGGGCCTCACTAGCAAGCAGTAAAAAACAGAAAAAATTAGCCTAAATTTATTTTTTAATAATCTCAAGCTAAAAAATTTAGGCCAGAAGAATTAGAGAAAAAAAACTATTTTTTGGTTAAAACCTAAATTGTCCTTGTTATCCTAGCTAATTTTATTTATTTATTTATATATTTTTTGTTAAGGTTTGTCGTCAAGGTACCGGAGGGCATGGTGCCAGAACAGGCGGCACCGCTGCTTTGCGCGGGGGTGACGGTGTACAGCCCGCTGAGGCACTTTGGCCTGAATGTGGGTGGGTTAAAAGGAGGAATACTTGGACTTGGAGGTGTAGGACACATGGGAGTGAAGATAGCCAAAGCCATGGGGCACCATGTGACTGTGATAAGCTCTTCAGAAAGGAAGAGAGAGGAGGCTTTGGAGCATATTGGGGCCGACGAGTACTTGATCAGCTCAGATGCCACAAAAATGCAGGAGGCTGCTGACTCCTTGGATTACATCATTGACACAGTGCCCGTCGGCCACCCACTCGAGCCGTACCTCTCTTTGTTGAAGCTTGATGGCAAATTGATCTTGATGGGTGCTATTAACACCCCATTAGAATTTCTTTCCCCAATGGTCATGCTTGGTGAGTCCGATCTTCTGTCACCGCCTTCAACCGGCAGCGGTTTAATCAAATTTTCGATCAGAAAATGATATTTGCACACCTTTTTTTTTCACTTGCTGCAACACTCTTATTTATGACCCTTGTTAAAATGTGTGCAAAAATTGTCTCTCTTTTTAATCCCTTTCTCAGGAGAGCTGCTTATTTTTACGGTGTAGAATTATCTTACGAGCTTAGATTTAGCTTTGAAGTCGAGATTTTTGGTCTTTTAGAACTCAGAAGTGGTAAACTTAGAATCTAAGCGATAAACATGAAGAACTCATATATATATATATATATGTATATGTATGTATATATATGTATGTATGTATGTATGTATATTGTTATATTATTCCCTAACTGCTTAAGGTTTCTAAGACTAGTAACTGACCTATTGTTTTACTTTCTCTGCTTCGCAATTATGCGTAGGGAGGAAGACGATCACAGGGAGCTTTGTTGGGAGCATGAAGGAAACAGAGGAGGTGCTTCAGTTCTGCAAAGAGAGAGGATTGACAACCATGATCGAAGTGGTTAAGATGGACTACATAAACACAGCTTTCGAGAGGTTGGAGAAAAACGACGTTAGGTACAGGTTCGTCGTCGATGTGGCCGGTAGCAATCTTTGATCAATAAAATGAAGAAACACGTTCATGTAAGACGGAATTTTCTTTGATTTACGCTTGTCAAGTTGCTCCATGAATGTCTCTACTAGCCATTCTACATTGGTGATTATCCACCTCACCTGCCACGTCATGTGATATGAAATTGCAGCAGAATTAGATGGTAAGGATATTATTTGTAGACCAACTACCCACTAATTCATCACATGGATTATTTGAGCTATATGCCATTGTAAAAATTACTCTGCGAAAAATTCCATTTAAATTTGAGCGTACTCGCTCGAGGCCTGAATTATTTATAACAAGAAGTTACCGACGGTGTATAACTGTCATACTGGTTGAATCCAAAAGAAACACTCGATTTGGGCAAGCTTCCAAAAGATAGTGGAAGAAATCCAACGGTGCCGCCCGCGGAAGGGGGCATGAGATCGCATCAGAGAAGCATGATACATGTGCCAAGGGCCCCTCCTCAAAGCAAGAACTAATAGCCTGTGAGTTGATGGTTCCAAAAACGTGGATTTTATGAACGATATGGCTGGAAAGTATTGAAGTCGGGCTTTTCATTTGTGTTGAAGTGTCACTATTTTTCCTCGATTCTTCTTTTTTACTTTTGTTGGTGTTGACATATTCATGGGTGATGCTACAAACATTCTCAGTCGGACCTTCTCGTTCTACCATCTCAATTCCTCCTCTAATTGTGCAATATTGCATATGAACATAACTATGATCTTCTTTTACAGTTCACCTTATGAATATTAACTTTGTAAAAAATTGAACAAATCAAGAATCTTTCAACCTTTCAATTAACGTCATCAAAATTTGAGTGTATAATTTAATAACATGGTTCACCATTTATTCAATTTCATAATTTGACCAAAAAAAAAAATTTCATATTTGGTTTTGTTTGAAAAATTGTACCAAAATCTAGGTGTTACTATTTCTATTTGCCAGTGGGATGAAAGCGTGGAGAATGCAATGCACGTGTCAAAATTATAGACCTCAAAAATGTCCCCATACCAAAGAAAACCAACTTTTCTTCTCATCATTTCAGTAGACAAGCATAGGTGTCCATCTTCTTAACCGAACTTTGGCTTTCCATCTCTATTTAATACCCTACTTTGTACTTCTTTTAATACCCAAAAACTTGGCCTCTCTTCTCTCAAAGACTCACCAACCCATCCTCTCTCTCTCTCTCTCTCTCTCTCTCTCTCTCTCAAACAAATTCAAATGCGCAACCTAGAAGTAGAGAGAACAACCACAGCATGGGCTGCAAGAGACGCATCTGGCATTCTCTCACCCTTGACCTGCACTCTTAGGTAATAAAACCTTATGTCCCTTCCTTTCTGTACGACATATGATAGGTGCATTATTTACCATATTTTCATACTAATTATCCCCAAGTTTTGTTAAGGAATTGGTCTTAAAAGAGCCTTATTACTTTCCTTTTCTCAGTTTCAGCCAATCTGCGCACTTAGGACGTTTTTAATGATAATTCGACTTTCCGGAGGAGTTTTGATGCAAGGCCAATTGAAAAAGAAAGCTCAGAGGTTGAAGATCATTGTGTCCAAATTTCATAATTTTCCATTAAGCCATTCATTCCAGTTTCACAAATCAATCCCACAGAAGTTGTTTTCCCGTCAAAATTGCACAGCTGTAGGAGAATGGGAGAATGAAGATTTGAAGACTTTCCGATTTTTCCTAGTGGTGTGCGATATATGCTTGGAAATATAAGAGATAAAGCTACGTTTTCTGTATTTTTATAGAATTTTCCAGAAGATAAATCGACCCCAAAACTAGCGTCCAAGATAGATGACGTGTTTCCCAAGCCAAGAAGGATTCTTTCCTAGTTTGTGTCATTAATTGTTTAGGAGTTTGTTTTGTTTTAGGAGAGTTTCTCCCATACCTTTTAGGGTTTTTCTAGTATAAATAAGGTCCCAGAAGATGTTTACATCAAAGTCCTATTCTGTGGGGTTTGCCACACTGATACACACCAGGCAAAAAATCAACTTGGCATGTCACACTATCCCCCGGTTCCTGGGTATGATAAATCATTCTTCCTTTTCTACATGTTTCTATCATGAGAAATGCTAAAATCAGCCCCACACGATCGATTCTGGCCATTCCTATTTTGTGAGGTCCACAATCATGCATGAAGAATGGTCAAAATCAGCTCGCCTACACGTGCGACTGATGATTTTAGTAATTATAATATGTGTTGCTCGTGAACAGGCATGAAGTGGTTGGTAAGGTGGTGGAGGCTGGATCAGATGTGACCAAGTTCAGAGTAGGAGATGTGGTAGGAGTTGGTCTCGTTGGTTGCTGCAGAAACTGCAACCCTTGCAACACAGATAATGAGCAATACTGCAACAAGAAAATCTGGACGTACGCTGACGTTTACACCTATGGCAAACCTATCCAAGGCGGCTTTTCCGGTGCCATGGTGGTTGACCAAAGGTAATACATGCGTTCTCCCTTAATTTTATGGGATCAGTTTATCCTCACTTACAAATAACGTATATTCATTGTAAAAATTTATAATCATAATCGTTTAATCTCTTAATCTTCATTTGAAGATCATCCCTAGGAAAAATCATTCAAATCTAATATCTTTTAATCATTCAACATATCAAATAAATCAAAGGTGTAGGTGCTAAGAAATATATTCATGATGAACCATTGATTTATTTCATTCATTTAGATTACTACTCATACCTGATTCTTTTTTTCTTTTTTATTATTATTCTTATTATTATTTTTTAGAGATTCATTATAACTAAGTGGACAAATGAGCCTATTCTGACCTACTCCAACCGTTGGATAAAACTCAAATTTTAGGTTTCAAACTCAACTCAAATTGCTTCAAGTCTTAGGCCAAAAATGAGTTTTAACCCAAAACTCAATTTTGGAGAAAATTCAGGCCAAGATTCAACACTAGATTAGTCGGCCTGGCTCACTTGTGTGCGTGGACATGCCCTACACAAACACACACATAGCGCAAACGCGCCCCATGCCACCAATGCATGAGGCACTTAGGCCATCACCAACCGAAGGGTTTAGAGGGCTGAAAATAGCCCAAAAACTGTCTCCAACCAAGGGCTAGGCCAGAGGGCTCTTGGAATCTGAGAGTAGGGCTGGGTTCGGTTTGAAACGGTTCGGTTTGGTTCAATTTTTTTCGGTTTTTTTTTGTTTGGTTTTTTTCAGTTCGGTTTTTTCCGGTTCAGTTTCGGCCCAATTTGGTTTCTTTTTTTTTTTTTTTTTTTTTTTTTGGAAAAATGAAAACAAAATTGAAATCTAGAATTTTAACATCTCCAACACAATTATAACATAAGCATTCTAACATAATGAAAATAAAGGTAGTCCTGAATCCGAATCATGTTGCTCCGTATATTTCATTGCCGTGCTCTATATGTTTCATTAGGATTTTAACAAAATTTATAGCTGACTTGAGCTAAGTTCCACAGCGTTGCTCTATTTGTTGACTCAACAGAGCAATCAACATAATGTGACTTAGCACATACAGAAATTGGAAAGCATCAATAATTGATCTTCATTTTAACCAAGGAAAGCTAGAAGAGCATCAAAATATATACACATATATATCAGAACTATCAAACTTGAAGAGGTAAATAATACATTTGATCTCTTTAGTACACTCACAAATTTATAAATAAAAAATAATCAAAAACGTGTACCGACAAATTTAGATACATGCACTGAAGAATATTATCAAGGGACTAAGTATCCAGCACCAGCAGCACTAAAATCAAGCATCCACCAGAATTACCGACAATCGGATTGACTGATATAACTACAGATTTCTCCACCAATACCAAAGGATCTATCAAAAACTTTTCGAATTGATGGGGTAAAAATATTATCAGCTTGATAGATTACCCAAAAACAAAATGATAAGTCAAACATGATCAAATTGTTCGCAAATTAAGACGAAGAAACTACAAAAGTAGCTCAAAAATCCAACTGGGTAACAAGTAAGTAAAGTTCCCAACTCCAATTTAGCATGCAAATTCAACAAATGGACTTAAATATTGACATGTTCTCTACTTACCTACTTCAGAACCCCAAAATTAGCTTCAACTAATAGTGTTCAGAAATAGCATACCCAAAACAAATCGCAAAACCCATGAAATTACAAAACCCATGAAATTGAAAATAAAATATGCAAAACCCAATGAAATTAAAAACAAAATCTATAGAACATGAGAGAAATTACCTTGCAAAGGAAGGAAGTTATGGGTGGAGACTCGAAAAGGCGAGAGGAAGTTGCGGGTCACGGGGGTGAGACACTGAGAGTGAGACGGCGAGTCGGCGACACTTGCAAATCGACGAGATGTGAGACGGGTCGCAGGTCGCTGGGAATGGGAAGGAACAAAACGAAGAGCGACGGAGCTGGGAGTGGGAAGGAGAGGGTCCAGTCGTCCAGAGTACAGAGGAGAGGGATAAAGGAACGAAAAATTGAAAAGGTGAGGCTTCTACAACTAATGGCTAGGGTTAAAGGGTTTTGTTGATTTCTCATATCAAATAAAAAAATTCTCCGACATCCTGAAGGCATGAGGGTTCGAACCCATGCACTCCAGCTTGAAAAGTTTTGCTGAAACCAACTTGGTAACAGGTTTTGTTTTGTTATGATTGTATGACTAAACTATTTATAAATATTAAAATATATATATATCGGTTTGGTTCAGTTTCCGAACCTCAAAAACCGAAACTGAATTGGTCAGATTCGGTTCGGTTCAGTTTGATAGTTTCGGTTTGGTTTTTTTTTTGGGTTTGGTTTTTTTCGGCCTCTGTCCGGTTCAGTTTTCGGTTTTTTTCGGTTTTCGATTTTTTGAACCCACCCCTATCTGAGAGGGCCCCACGGAATCTGAAAGTGCCAAAGGGCTGCATGCCAGCCAGGGGCTAGCCAATAAAAACATTAATCATGTCAGTTATAACCGACAAGAATGCTTAAGCTTCAAATGCAACGGCTAGCTGACGTCAGCTAGCCGTTGCATTTGAATTTTTTTTTTTTGTTATAGTTTTATTATTATTTTTTATTTACAAAATTTTTCCTATAACTTCTATTTTTCATATATTTTTTTTTAAATTCTATTTTTTTCCTAAAACTTTTATTTTACAAAATTTGTTTCATATTTTTTTTTAAATTCCATTTTTTCCTATAACTTCTATTTCACAAAATTTGTTTCATATTTTTTTTTAAATTATATTTTTTTCCTATAACTTCCTAAGCCATTATACAACATTAAAATAAATTAAGTAACATGAAACAACATTAAACAATATGAAACAACATTAAATAACATTAACCAACATAAAAAAAACATTTAACAACATGAAACTTAAACAACATTTTTAAAAACATTTAACAACATAAAACTTAAACGCCTACTCCATACTTCTTTTGGCCCAAAGATGTGCAACAAGATCCTGTTGTAGGTACTTATTTGTGGCATGAGAACGTATCATTCTAGAGTGCCTCGTGTACTCATTTATAGAGAAATTACCAGTTCTTGGATTGAAAGGCAAATTAGACCCATCATATAGTTTTGCACAAGCCTTTCTTGACCTATTTGGATCTTCTTGGTCGTCATCGGACTCTCCATCAGTATACCCATCTCGCTCATCCTCCACTATCATATTGTGTAATATGATGCAAGACATTATGATGGAATCCAAATTTTCTCAACTCCACCCTCTTACCGATTCACTGATGATCTTCCACCATGCTTGTAGAATACCGAAAGCTCTCTCAACATCTTTTCGGTATGCCTTTTGGTGTAAGGTAAACAATTTTTCTGCATCATTCCTAGGGTTTGGAATTGCTTGGACAAGTGTCACCCACTTTGGGTAGATGTCATCTGCCAAATAATACCCCATATTATATTGACAGCTGTTGATGTAGTAGTTAAGTTAAGGTGTTTTACCTTCCGTCAAGTTATTGAAGAAGGGTGAACGCCCAAGAACTGTAACGTCATTTTGGGATCCAAGGACTCCAAAGAAAGCATGCTAGATCCATGTGTCATATGAGGCAACCGCCTCTAACACAACAGTTGGCTTTCTCAACCTTCCACTAAAGCCTTTTTGTCATCCGGTGGGACAGTTCTTCCAATCCCAATGCATGCAATCTAATGACCCTATCATGCTTGGAAACCTACGGTCTTCAGCTTTGCAAAGAAGCCGATTCAGATCTTCTTGATTTGGCTCGCGGAGGTACTCGTCTTTGTAAACCTGAACAATTGTGTCACAGAATTGTTCAAGAGTATGAAGGCATGTAGACTCAAACATATCATGGGTTTCATCCATCAAATCAGCTGGGGAGCCATAAGCCATCATTCGGAGTCCAACAGTAACCTTCTAATGAGGTGAGAAACTAGGGCGGCCTACTCTGTCCCACTTTTATCGAAAGTATGGATTGACCTGCTGGACATCACAAGGTAAACACTCAAAGACAAGACACCTCATCCGGAAGCGACGTCTGAAATCCTCTTTTGTGTACACCGAGTTGGGGTTGAAGTAGTTGTTTATCAAATTAGCATGCGTCATCGCTCTATTTCGTGGTTCGTAAGAGCGACCAACAATAGAGCCACCCCATTGAGGTTGTTCCTCAGTTGGCTGACAAACATGGCCGCAGCCATGGTTGCTGCTTTGTTTTGTTTGTTGCGCCTTACTTGAACTTCTTCATCAGACTCTTCATCTTCTCATCTCATTTGCGCCCATGTTGCTTCCAATTTGGAATTAGATGAAGACCCCCAGTTGGAATCCGAAAAGGATCCAGAATTGGAATTCATTGCAAACTTGAATTGAAATAGATTGAATTCAAAGTTGTGTTAATATAGCCCAATATCCACCCTATTTATAGCAAAAAAAATATATATATATTCAAATCCAACGGCTAGCTGACGTTACTTAGCCGTTAGATTTGAATTTAAATTGTAGTTTTAAATAATAAATTATGTTTGGCTTTATGGTCCTTTGGCCCTCGGTTGGAGACGGAAGCAAATATAGTCATGTACTGTTCATTAAAATATTAATATCTTGGAAGGCCAGAGGGCTCAGCCCTCAGTTAGAGATAGCCTTACAGCGCAAGGCCCATGCACGTGGAGGTGCATGCTACCATTATGAGCCAAACGGGTTTTTCTTACATCCGACGGTACTGGATCATTGGATTATTGGTTCATCCCACTGTGTAGATTCAAATATATATTTTTTTTTATATTTGTAAATTTATTGAATTTAACGATTGAGATCTAATATAAACAAATCTAAGACCATCTCCAATGGTGACCTAAAACCTAAAAATATTTAGCCTAGAAAATTTAGGTTTTAGCTCAGAAACAGCTTTTCTACTCCAACCCTTTTGGCTTAAAATTTTAGCCCCAGATTATCAAAGAATGAATTAAGGCTTTTTTTTTTTTTAAATTAACTTTTTTCAAAAAAAAAATTTATATAGACTATCCTAAATTAATTTTATGAACACTTTAACCTAAAAATAATTAAATTCCGATAAATTTTGAAAAATCACTAAATCAATACATGAAAATCAAGATAAACCACATAAACTTAATACCAACGACATTTAATAAACCACATAAACTTAAAAAATAAAAAAAACAATTAATAAACTACATAAACTTAATACAATCGAAAACTCATAGACTACATAAACTTAATAATGATATTCACCATCTTGACTTGGTGATGGACTTGGGTGATAGTCTTGAGATGAATCATCATCTTGAAATATACTCCTTGTGGCATTCCTTCGTAAAATTTCATTTTGCTTACCACGTATGTCACATCCCGGCCCGGGGCGCACCACTTCCCGAGCCCACTCCACCACCGTAGCACGATATTGTCCGCTTTGGGCCCCGACCACGCCCTCACGGTTTTGTTTCTGGGAACTCACACGAGAACTTCCCGATGGGTCACCCATCATGGGATTGCTCTCGTGCGCTACTCGCTTAACTTCGGAGTTCCCATGGAACCCGAAGCCAGTGAGCT